TATGTATATGTTATTAATATTTTAAATTTAATTTTATACGAAGCTTTCAATAATTACTAAAGAATCGTGACAAATTTTACCTAAACATTTCACATTTGAATGTACATCTTTCAAATGTCTATATCTTGAAAAATTCTTGATTCGTTAAATAGTACCAAAGTAATTTTTTAAAATATACATACACTCACGAGAAGAATTGGACGGTCGGTGGAGAAGATGCTGACAATTAAATGATTCGGAGGAGTTAGTGAGACATCATCTTAAAGTGATTGCAGAAACACGTCAGGGAGAACGCAGAAAGAGAATGCCTTAGAAGGATAGATGAGAATATAAGAGGCTATAAATTAGATTAGAAGTAGAATGCATATAAGAAAGCTGGTTGAATTGAGATCGAATAGATTTTGCTCCCTTATATTAAGACGGATGCAACAGCTCCACTCTCTTCTCAATTATCATACTATACCTTAGTTTGACCTTAACAAAGATACTAACCATCAGAACTACAATATCCAAAGTCTTAACTGAAGCTATATCTGCATACAACTCTCCTGGTCAGTCACGTCTATAATTTATTAATGCTACAGTATTAGTTTGCTTAATTACACATCAAAACGTACATTTAATATCATGATGGATAATACTTATACTACGTTTTCTTTAGTCCAAGGGATAATAAGAGCTATATTCGGCTAATTAAAACCGGCTATCAATATTTGACCATGTCGTACGGTACGTACGTACGCACGCTGACGTCGCTCGAGGTTTATCTGTTATCTATTAGATTTTTAATAAATTGATTAGCAAATTACTAATACTTATTCTAAACCTAGTAAGTACGTACGTACGTAACTTTTTTAATTCGGAAAAGTAAATTTTTATCGATGTTGTTACTATTAGAGTACGAACGTATGTTCAGGGAATTTAAAATGAAGATCATTGTTTTTCATCGGTGCGATAGTCAGATAACGATAAAGTTTAAAGTTGATTTTTAATCTTACAAATTGTGTCTTGCGTAATAAAGAATAGTAAGAGGTGCTACGACGGACTGAATTCCTTTTTTGACTTACAGGCTATGCAAGGGGCTGACACAAATGGAAAAAACATTTGTTAGAAATAAACTGGTTTCTTTAACATACGTACGTATGTAGCGGTAGTTTACTGAACCAAAATTTATACGTTAACGGTTTGTTTACGCTATATAATTTATTAATAAATTTACAATGATAATGACTTGTTTTACATTATATACACACGTCACTCTGGTTATATACTGACATTTGGATATAACGACATCATAGTAAAAGCGATGTTAAATTTTTAAATTTTTTTGAAAAAGGTATAATCAGAATGACGTATACATATTAATATACGTAATTTATTCTAGTTATTAATAACTATCATAATTTTAAACTCCGAAGTATTGATTATTTACTATAATTTAGTTTAGTATAGTTAGTATATTTATTTATTGTAATGATTTTATATTATAATATATATATATTTGTTTTTTTATTAATAAAGAATAGAATAGTATTGTAAAATAAATTATTTATAATTAATAATAATTAATACATCATATCATTTCCAAAAATGATCAATATACCAATCTATTTCTAAAAATAAAAACAATACCAAAAATTTTTATTTCGTAAAAAAAATTTTAAATTTATAGATCATCCAAATTTTTACTTTATTAAAATTAAAATTTTCAGCCCAAAATTTTAAAGTATTACAATATTGTTCTGAATTATTTATATATAATTGATCTTTTTTTTAACAAAATGATTTTATACTTTGTTATGTCAAAAATTACAGTTATCTCTGGTGATCAAACTGGGGTTGAAAGAGCAGCTTTAGATGCTGCTATTGATAAAAAATTTGATATTGATGGTTGGTGCATGAAAGGAAGAGTATCAGAAGATGATATCTTACCAAAAAGATACAAACTCAAAGAATTAAATAATAATTCTTATCATGAAAGAAATGAAGCAAATCTTAAATTAGCAGAAAAAACATTAATCTTAATGATATCAAGTATTAAGATTGATAATAAAACACTTCCTATTGTTAAAGAAGAAGAATCAAAAACAATCTTTCTTGAAGAAAATTTTGAGCAAAACAAAGCTCAAATTAATCCACTTATAAAATGGATTGAAGATAAAAAAATTAAAAAATTATTTATCAGTGGACCAACTGAAAGTAATATTAATGGTGTTACTATTTATGAGATAGCTTATAAGTTTTTATATCATTTATTTAACGAGTTAGAGAACAAACTGTCTTAAATATTTTAACTATATGACATGTTTTAATTTATATATAGTATATCGATTTTATTTTTATTATCAATTTTGCTATTTGTATAATTATATTTTACTTTTATCATCATTTATATAACAAAATAAAGGTTAAATTAAAGTTTTAAAAAAATATAGACGCTTAAGCATCATCAAGATATAATCTTAAATGCTTTGCATCATATATCGATGAATAAACAAAACATTATATATAGTTAATAATGTAATTTTTTGAATTATGCCACGTCATCTTAATATTTTAACTATTATTATTAAGCTAGTGGAGCTAACTTTAAAATATCTGATGTTGAAATAACAAAGTTATCCTTGTAAATTAACGCTCGATTAAAGACTTTTCTTTCGAATAGTCAACTAGCTACATTCATGTTTTGTGTATTGTTTGATTAAAAAATACACCGACATCAATTTAGATACGTGTGAGATACAATCAATTTCAAACTTTTTTTTTTCGACAATGAAACTCGATATAGAAAATGATTATGGTCACGCAAGAAAAGCCCCCGATGACAATCA